CCTGTGTTTTTGGTAAACAGTCGCCTGGGCCTGGTCACTGCGACCTCCTGTATAAGGAGGTACCCCTTCTCCCGAAGTTACGGGGCTATTTTGCCGAGTTCCTTAGAGAGAGTTGTCTCGCGCCCCTAGGTATTCTCTACCTAATGTTGCTCTTCCTTGATTGGCATCCAGTGCCCAGCCCAGTCTACTCAGCCTACGCTAGCCTACTCTACGTATATGCAACAGGAGTAACTTCGGTCCGAAGACCAATGTACGTGACAACCACGCAGACTGCCAGCATAGGCCAGTTAGGTGCATCCCCTCCTCTCAAATCACCCCTCGCCTCCCCATAGCGTGCATCCCCCACATCCAAAGACAACCATCAAACACACCGCCTCTGCACGCACAGCCCGGCTATGGCCGCCGTGCGCCCGCTGCCACTGCAGCGCCCTTCTCACCTTGTGCGCCAGCTGGCCAGTGCATGCGCAGCATGCTTCGCAAGACCAAGCAGCAGTATGGCCGCCTTTCCTGCTCAGGCCAGAATGAATCCCCTGCCTGAGTCAATCAGACTCATCGACTTCGACCTTCAGCATGCATACGAACAGATGACGATCAACCTGGCGCCTTGCGCCCAAACAAAGCTCAGAGATAATGAAGTCAAGAACACAACTCAGATTCAAACTTGTCTTGGCCGGCTATGGCCAACCCGTGCACTCTCAACCACTTGTTCTTACACACACACTGGATCTCCCCGGATGTCCCAACAGACACATACACACTCAACTCTCTCTCACACTAACACCCTACTGACATGCTAACGTGGCGGCTATGGCCACCGTTTATCTCCTACTAGTAACAACTTCGGCTATGGCCGATCTTTCTCCCTCTTAGCCCGCTACTCCATGGGCACCAGCAGACCTCCTTGCATAAGACGCTCAGGCAGCGTTTCCGCATGGCTCACAGGCAGGATGAATGAATGGCATGACGCTCCCTCATGGGACCCTGGGCCCAGGGTGCACACAGTCCCACATGGTACTTGCTGACTTGACAAAGTGCGACTGGGACAGGGTACTGCTCCCTGGGTGGAGTTAGTCTGCGCCACTTGCCCACTGGCCTACGGACTACCTACTAGGACTTCCAAAAGGTCAGTTCCAGGCCTTCCGGAAGACTGTAGACTGGACCCTTCAGTACTTTAGCAGCTACGACTTGACCTTTCAATACTGTAGCAGCTACAACTCCTACCCTTGCTAAGAGCTATATCCTACAGACCTACGGTTCAAGACCCGACGACCATCCTACCTACAGCAACAAACAGCGACTTTCAAGACACAGGTCACGGGTTCAAGCACACACGGATTGAGTGTTACTGTACAGCAGGATCTTTACCTTTCTTAGCTCTTTCATAGGCACGGACTGCGTCGAGAGTGGTCTCTAGAAGCTCTGTTCGTGTAAACCAGCGGTCGTCTTCCAGTTCTTGGTAAGAAAACCTGATTTTGTACTGTTTCTGCGGACGACGTCTACCTCCTGCTCTGAATACATCCTCACGTACTATGCGTTCAATGTTGAGCCTTCCGTCCATATCTGGAGGTATCATGGACCTTCTCAATGGGAACTGCTGACTCGTAGTGTAAGGCAACAACTTTGACGAATGGAAATCTGGGTAGGTGTGGAGGTGTGCTGCATCTCTATGGTGTAGGACGGTCCATCATCTCCTAGGACTGGCCAATTCGGCGAGATTCTCCTCGGGAGCAAACTCTCTAGACTTGACCCACACTAATCGCCTACCTGGAACTGCGACGGGTGACGTTGCTAATTGGCTTGTTCTATCATCCTGTGCTGGGCTTTCCTAGGGTTCTCTACCACCTCACCAATCTCTTTCTCGTGCTGTAACGCGAACTCCCTAGTACTGGGCGGTAGCCTCTGTATCTGGTCCCGGTTCACTCCCTCAAACGGCCTGCGGGGTCTAAAGGACTTGTGTAATTCGTTGGGAGTACGACAGATGGCTAGATGAACGCTATTGTTGTAAGCACTGGCTACCTTTGGGAGCATCTCCTCCCAGCTGACTTGATCGGGTCAAATGTACATTCTGAGAACTTGTTGCAGGATCTTGTTCATCTGTTCGGTCTGACCGTTACTCTCTGGATGGCGGCCAAATGACATCAGTAACTTAGAACCGTATACTCTCATGAGCTCCTGGCAGTTCTGACTAGTGAACCTGGTATCTCCGTCACTAACCATTGACAGTGGTAAGCCAGGTTCACTGACCCAATGATCAAAAAACTTCTCTATCACTAAATCAGTGCATGCCTCAAAAGGCAAAGAAACGAAAACTGCATATTTACTAAATCTATCAACTACAACCACGACTTGGCTCCGGGCATGCCTACTCCTGACTCCAGCATCCATGAAGTCGATGGACACGGAATTCTCCAGGTCCTGATCGAATAGGCAAAGGTCTGAGAGCGCTGGCACACTTTGCAGCTACGCACATACTCTATACAGTCAGCTTTCATGTCAGGCCACGTGTAGGCACGGATTAGGTTGGTGAGTGTCTTTTGCCAACCGAAGTGCCCTTTTGTATCACGACATTCCCCAAGGATCAGACTACGAATCTCTTCACTGTTGGGAATGCATAGCCGATCTACGACGTTTGTCTTCTCAAACAATAACCCATTAGTGGTGCGGTAGTGAGGTTCACTGGCTGGGTCCTCCTTGACTCTCTTAAGGAGGTCATTAATGACTCATTATAAATAGGGTCCTGCGCCTACGCATCTCTGACTTTCTGCTGTAAGTTTGACCCTATATCCAAATAGTGAACTATAGCTCCAAAATAGTCGGCTCTTCTACTAAGGGTGTCTGGAACCACATTGTACTTCCGTTTGATTGGCTTGAGCTCAAATTCAAACTGATCTATCTTGGCGGCCCACCTTGTAAGCTTAGGTGTCATCTTGGCCGACGTCTTCAGCCACCTCAATGTCTCGTGGTCCGAGTACACTTTGAAGCGTCTCCCAAGCAAGTAGTGTCTCCAGTGGTCTAATGTTTGCCTCAGAGCGTAGAGTTCCCTCTCATAGGTGGATGTCGCTACCTTCTCGAAAGGCAACCTAGCGGACATGACCTCTACAGGTCTATACCCATTGCCATCATCTTGCTATAAGACAGCACCAATACCATACTAATTCGCATCAGTGGTAACAACGAAGGGTAAGGACAGGTCAACTACCTTGAAGACTGGGTACTCTATCAAGGCCCGCTTTAACTTCTTTAGGGCCAATGTACAATCTTGGTCCCACTTCCAAATAGCCTCTTTCCTGAACAGCCTGCGAAGGGGAGCAGCGATGACAAAGAAGTTCCTCAAGAACTTTCTATAATAGTTAGCCAATCCTAGGAATGACCTCAACTCTGTGCGGGTACGAGGGGATGGCCAGTATCTGATCACTGCGACCTTGCTGTCCTCAGGCTTTATGCCATCACCATCTAAAACATGGCTTAAGTACAGGATCCCTATCTTGGTCCATTCGCACTTCTTTGCGTTGATCTTGAAATTTGCTTCGCGCAACTTTTCCAAGATCTGCCTCAAATGAGACTCGTGCTCCTGGAGGGTTTTGCTAAATATCAAGGTGTCATCCAAGTTAATAGTTACAAACTTGTCTAACCACGGCCTAAACAAATCATTCATGCAAAGTTGGAATG